AGTAATACTACTTTTACGCAAGACATCATGATGCGGAATGAAATGTGACGTTTGGTTTGCATTAATATGACACTCGGACATGTGACCTAAAGAAATATACTCAGACATAAAATCCTTGTACATTTTGTCGAGTGGAGGTTGCTTTAAATTCCTGCGCTCTAATGACAGAAAACAGCGTTTTGCACGATGAAATGAATCACCAAGACGACTTGAAGGTTCCTTAAGCGGGATTCTAACATTAAAACAGCCGTCTGGCAAACGCGTAGTGTTATTAATAAAGTGTTCTTCGCACATCTTCTCTTTAAATGAATAAGTTGATGACTGATGACAAACTTCTTCAAGCTGTCTAAAACGTGTAAGTTGGTTTTGGATGTCATCTAACTCAAGAGAACTAGAAGAACGGTTATTTTTAAAGTTTGTAAAGTTACATTGTATTGGTGGGAAATGAGATGACAACATATTATAGCCGCCGTTAACTGGGCCACAAACTAGCCAACCAAGTCTAGTTTGTTGTAATGTTGGTTTCCTATCACCTAATATAATTTTATCAGAGCCTAACAAGCTCCAAAATACGTCAGCTCCAATTATAATATCAATGGAAGCTGGCGAGTGAAAGTACGGATCTGCTAACTGTATATTCGAAGGAATATCTATATGTACCTGTCTAGCGGGAACGTTATCGGTAATAGTGGGCAAGACAAAACATATTAAATCATCAATATAAGATTCGTGTAACGATTCGACGTGAACTCGGCACATTTTTCTTACAGGAGATAGTGAATTATTAATTCCTTGAATAGACTTTTTTATATTTAAACATGGTAAATTTAATTTTTTAAATAATCGTTCCGTCATTAGACAAGACGAACTACCGGAATCAAGAAGGGCGCGTGCGATGTGTTCTTTATTATTTACATCATAACATTTAATTAACGCAGTCGACAGAAGGACGTCACTCGAGGTGCTTGTATGCGAGTGCGCCGAGATGTTAGCCGATAGTGCAACATGCGCGTTGTCTCCGTTGTCAGTAGCGATGGAAGATGACTTGTCCTTGGCCTTGCCGATTGTACATTCACCTGATTTGTTTACAACGTGATGGCTTTTATAATCATTATTGTGAATAAGCGTGTGGTGTTTGCGCTTGCAAATTTTACAACCTGGTTTTTTGCAAGAATTAGGATAGTGACCGTGACGAAAACAATTAAAACAAATCTTGTAATTTTGTAATAATAACATTCTATCGCTAACACTCAGTGCTAAGAACTGTGGACATGAATTTAAGTTATGATCGCCACTACACTTTGGACAACCGTGTGCTAATGAAGAATTTATTTTTTCTGTGGAAACCATAGCCTTAATTTTAGTGTTGGATTTAATATTACTGGAAGAGGGGCGTGATAGTTCAACTGTTTCTAGTAGATCGGCACGGCTACGCAGAAAATCCATGAACTGTTGAAATGAAATTGATTGAGTTTTATCAAAGCGCCCTTTAAACTCCTCCCACTCTCTAAATGTTTTGAAATCTAATTTTTTACTAATGATATATATTAGAAGAGTATCCCAACTGTGAACAGGCTCGCCTAATGAACTTAATGCTCTAATATTTTTGTTTACATTGTCGATTGTGCGTTTCAATGCAATTGAGGATTCTTTCGTAATCGATTCGATATCAAACAACGCCGTGACGTGATTATTAATTAATAAGCGTTTGTTATCGAAACGTTCACATAGAAGTTCCCACGCAACTGTGTAGTTTCGGGCGGAGAACTCAATTGATTTAATTACGATGGCAGCCGAACCTTCCAATGATGATCGCAAATAATGAAATTTGTTAATTTCGTCCATATCGTCATTATCATGAATAAGACTAGTAAAGGTATCGCGAAATTCAAGCCAGTTAACGTAAGATCCTGAGAATTTTGGTAATGAAATGGTAGGTAACTTGACTAGTTGACGCTTTGAACTACTGTGGCTAGATTTTACATCATCTTTTTCTAATTTAGAATAGTTATTTAACATAATTTTTGCCTGAGCGACTAAGTTGTAATACTGAGATTCTACTGTAGTTCTTTCAATAGATTCAACATCAAGATTTTCACATAAACATTCTAATTGTAATTGAATTTCGTTAAAGTCATCATATAAATTTTCTAACTTATCAATACGTAACTGTAACTCCATTGCCTGACAAGGGGTTAACTCGGAACCTTTTAAAAGACCTAAATAGGTTGCAAATGAAGTAATTCTTCCCTTATAACTGCCACGTTTCTTTTTAAGATCTTTTATGTCGGTCATTTTGAAAGGCAGGTGTCGTCAATCTGGAAATTTACAACAGAACGCTAAATAATGTAAAAAATATCTTTTTATCAATATTACTATGACAATGAGCATTAATCACTAAATAAATATAATTTAATTTGACTTTTAAAAGCACTGTGCTTATAATTTTGCTGTTGTATGATAGACTTAAGACTAGTATATTTAAGTGACTTATTTTACAATTCTAACTATCTACAATGATAACTACTTACAATGCTAATAATTTTAAGGTTTAACATTTAAATATTGTATTAAATCTGAATAGTTAACTAATGTAATATTAATATTACTGTACTGTCACAATGAAGTACTGATTAACTATATTATACAATAATTATTATAAAATCAACCTAATGCAATGTAAATAACTAATTAATGCGTTTTAAATTGTAGTAGTTTTAAATAAAATAAGAATAACTTGTAAATATTACATTAAAACATATTTTACTAACCTTATACAGTCTTCATATTGGTCATTAAGTTTTTACCTAGAATATTACCTGAGTGTTGGGTGAAATAAATTTTATTTAACGCTTAAAACAATTTGTTTTATTAAATTAAATCACTCTAAAGTCCAAGCCACTTTTCTTCATCCAAAACGTGTAGGTTGAATCACTTCTTTTGGACACGTTGCTCAGTTTTATAATTTTATAAAATTCCAGATAATATTCTTTAAATCCCTTTATTTCCAAAGAAAATTATAATAATCCGGCTCGAAGGACCATGTGCGCGTATAGGGGGGATTTACTGGGATTTTTAAATGAAAAATTAAAACTTTGATGACCGGACAGCACGCAGTCTTAAGATTTATTGAGAAAGAAAAATTTAAAATCACCGTCTGTGCTATAATGACAATATATAACGACGCCTGATAGAAAAAAAGAGCATTACGTTTGTTATGTTACTTAATTAACTTAAAATAGTTTAATGGTGCTTCAACAAGTGCATCAGATTAAGGGGTTGTGGGCTAATTACATGCTGAAAATTGTGCAATCCATTATATCATAAACTTTATGGACGATTATTGTTTCTTCGGTTTGTAAAAATCGGCACAATATCGGATTCATAACAATATATTCGCACTTGAAATAGATTTCACACACGCAGCCATTCGAAATTAGCTAATACAAAGTGACAGATTGATGTTTACATCGGTTTTGATTTTCGTTATCGTGCAAATGACCACATTAGTTCTAATTATATTGCCAGTTTTTGTGAACAGCTTCATAGTAGTTTAGTTTTCTACAATTAGTCCGTTCATGAAACGGGTGTAGTTTTATTAATTTTATATTCTATACCTTCCATAGTAAATCTATACATATAATAAAATTCTAACTAAGTAGAATCTGTACGAAACGAATATGTTGTAGTGAAATAGTCATTATTATGGATACAGAGGCCGAGTGTATAGTTTTTGGAATATTTGTCAGTCTGTCTGTCTGGGAACACATCACAGAAAACCACGTACGCGTTACGTTTCGAAATATTACAATTATGAGAAATCCGGATGACAATACAATAATTTGGTACCACGCTGTTCATCTTAAATGGAACCAAGAAGCGAATCGTACAACTGTTCGATTGTACTAGAAAAACCTTGTACCTGGGCTCATTTGATTATCGTGGCGAGTCCCATACCTAATGATTAGATTTATTGCAAGTCAACACATTAGTACCTATAGAATCAAAAAATAAAATCTAGCCAAGTTGAAAAATTACAGCAAATGCGAGTTTGACTTGCACACCGAGGGTTCCGTATGATGTAACATTAAAATAAGTTTATAATCGCAATTTTTTTTGGGACGTAACTACAGCACTGTTCACGGATTTTTTCCTTTACTTTGTGGTATAAGACATTGTTTCTTTCCAAATTTCATAATTCTAGGACAACGGTAATCCAATTCAAGTATCCTATAAATTCAAGTAGCCTTGCAAATGTCAAAATATGCGGCATAAACGGCCTCTATATCTTCAAAAGTTTCTTGACAGACAGAGTTGACAGACTTGGCCTATAAGGGTTCTTTTTTCCTTTTGAGGTGAGGTACGGAACCCCAAAAAAATTCAAGTTCTCGGGATACCAGATCATAAGTGCGTGAAGTATTTGTGGGTGTGGATACACATCGATTAAAAAATACTAGATACACAATCAGCGACAAAAAATGTCCTCACCGAATGAGCGATCATTTGAACATTTGAGCGCGCTTTTAATTTAGTAGTATTTGTACCCTCCGACGGTAAACATGTCCTGTGCTGGTAGAAGTTGCAAAAATCACACATCTAGGACGTAGACAAGGATGGAGTTTCATATTATCGGTAAGTACCATAATTATCATTATATAATGTCTTTAACCATTATTACTATATTGTAATTACTGATATTTCGCCAAGAAATCATCGTGAGAATAGTTTTTAAGTATTTTTTTAAATTACACTCATTCTTTGTTACAGCGTGGCGCGGTGGCGACGACGTGCGGACGTGACGGTGTAAAAACAACTTTAAACATTGCAGTTAAGGTTCAATTTACATTATTGTATATTTATTTAAACTAGAATAATTACTTAAATACAATTAGTGACAGTTTTAAGATAACTTTCACATGGGATCGTGTATCTAGTACTTTTATGGTCGATGTGTATATACTATACTTTGATTTACTCTCGCATTACTCTACTATACTTACGGTACACAGTGGTCAAGTTGGCCAACGCCCAGACTGCCCAGTGCTGACACTGTGGTGTATGATGAGCGTGCAGAAGACTCAGTATCGGTTCGAAGGAGCGATAGTTTATGTTCCTTTCAGCACTGAGGTCCCATCTCTCTACTGCAGACGCAATCCTAGCGAGCACGGCTTCACGGGCAGGTTCCTCTACTGTCCACGCTTCGGGGCCGTCTGACGCCATGTGAGCTAGGACTCCCGCAGCATTATAACTAACCTGGAACGTATACAAATATCAATTAAAAACATGTCAGATAATTTGGCTATGGCTGCCGCTCTCACTGGAATTCATCATAAAATGCACAGGTATCGGTTCTATTGCCTTTACACTCAAGCTCCGGTGGATGACTGCTCGATACGACCGGTGGGGGATCTGACGCAGGACCCACGTGACAAGCTCCGAGGCAACTAACTGAGAATTTCTTGTCAGAAAACCTCAATAGTGTCGCAAAAAACTCTATTAACATTACGAATATGTATTAAACTTATTGTAATGGCTTTAAGTTTAAATATTATAGAAAATTATAACTATAGTTGGTCCGACCCGCAGCCGTACATAGATAGGTACCAGTCACCGAAGCAGTTAATTAAAAAACTATAATTTGATGATAGTGAGCAAAAAGCAAGGATTAAAATGATTTTTGTAACACAGACCGGTTTTATTCCCAAAGCTCCATGAAATGAAAATGTTGTAACCCGGGAGGGAAATGATGAAAGCCGTGTACTTACCTGGCTTTCATCATTTCCCGGTTCGCATCGTACACTAATTGAATGATTAAATGGAATATTTTCATATATTTTGTCACTTTTGCAAAATATAGAGTTCAATAAGTTTTCTCAGTTATATATAATATAATAGATTTCCATTTTTAACCCCCGACGCAAAATGAAAGGAGTTAACGTATATATCTGTGCGTCTGTGGCATCGTAGCGCCCAAACGATGAACCGATTTTAATTTAGTTTTTTTTTGTATGAAAGGTGATTGGATCGAGACTTCATAAATGAAGAAAATTCGTTCAATCGTTTGCACGTTACTTTAATGACATGGTAACCTTGGTCTGACGCTGCAGCGTCACCTGGAATCTGCAAGATACTCAATTCTTTGCTAAAATACTGCAGAGATGCTCTGTTTAGGCTCACTGAAATGGCCTCAATGAATAGGTAATTCTGTTTGGGTTTTTTAAATTTAAATTTAAGATTATATTTCAGAAACATTGGTACAATTTATCGATTAATATCTTTTTATTATATTATTCATTTTAAATAGTGATTCTTCGCAAGATATTCAAAATATTTAATAATACCATGAAATTGTCAATTTACTGTCAACCGCTAATATATATGTATGTATGTATTATGACATATGTACATATGTATTGTACATACATACATACATATGTCTTGATATAATTAGTTAATATTTTTTCATTCGTAAATTTATTTTTAATTTTAGTTTGCACAATAAAGAACTATCCCATATGAGGATAATAGTTAATCGTTAGTTAAGTGCTAAGGGCGTTCAAGTCGAGTTTCAAAGGACTTTGAAGACATTAAAAATTAAATCGTAAATTATATATGTAGAAATAAACACTCTGCTACAGTATACGTTTTAAAAGAATAAAGCACATTAAATTAATTTAAAAGATATCGGCGATGGTAAACATTTTTTTTCACAGATGAGTGCACTAGTAGTGCTTAGTGACTGATGTTGCACAAAATTATAGATTTTGAAGTATGAATTGGTCTGCATCGATAACTATAACAAACTTAGTGTCGTAGTCAGATATTTATTAAAATAATTCTTAATGGATAAATTAACCTTAACATTATAAATTAAAAAAAATCCCCTTCCCATATATTATAAATGTTAAAAATACGAATAATTATGTTCATGTTCGGAACATGCTCACAGACTTTAATATTAATTATTGGAATACCTTGTAAAAAAAAATGTTTGCAAAGCTGCACAAAAGGAATTTTATATAAAAGTATTATTGAAGTTATACTTCTTTTGGCACATTTGGTAAAAAATATGAGAGTAAAATTAGACTTTTTTTTGTATTTTAAAAACACACCAACAGCCAAAAAGCTACATGATGAAGTTAGCTGCATTCCTTTTACAAACAGAGTGTTGTGACATACGGGATGAAATCTTTAGCTATTTTTGTTCTGTTACGCCAAAGAAGTATAACTTCTTACGTGCGTACATAAGTACACACACACACTTTTTTTTAAGATCTTATCATTTCGCTTAAAAAAGCGAAAAATTTGTCAAATTATTAAAGAAAATAAATACTTCAATTCCATCACTAGATGAATCAAGTAAGTCGTAGAAGACGCTAAGAAATAACTTGTCCATGAGCTTAGGACGCAGTTCGGCCACCTCGGCCACGTTGCCGAGTAGTCCCATCATGTTCCGTAGCAGCTCTTCTTTGTCTGGGAAATTCTGCAAATATATTACATTACTTTTCATTATTTGAATTTTCTCTTCACACTAATATTATAAATGTAAAAGTACGTATTATAATTTATCGAGTGAGTGTGTGTTTGTTATTTATTCAAACTGTAATGGGCAACTTACGAGTATATTCCGAGAATAAGCACACATTTTATCGACGTTTCTACCAAATGCGCAAAGTTCGGGATAAAGACCAGTGTTTATAAAGTAGCAATGCTCCTACATGTAAATCATTAAAAAGGAAATTAATTACTGTACAAGGGTTCGAGTTATATATTTAATAAGAAAACATACGTATTTTTTTAAATATATAAAATATGATTAATGTAAAAAATACATAGCACAATACCAATTTCGCAAATTCAAGTTGCTAACAAGTAGGAAAACCTTAACAACTGTCTATATCTAGAACTAAGGACTGATCAGTAGCTATATAAGCGAATCACAAAACATCCTAAGCCCTCTCATACGATTACATGATAACAATTTAGAGATAATCTCCTTGATTAATAAGACAAGAAAGTCATACAGAGAACCTCCAACTAGTTTTCAGTAACCTTAATATTACGCGTTAGATTAGCAATGTGATACTTTGTTAAAGCAAACTAACTAGAAAAGTTATTTTGATTATCCTATACTGATTACTGCTCACCGCTAGCACACGTAGATATGTCAAAATTGAGTATCAGAAAGCAGTAGCACTACGGTATTTGCGGGTTATGGGATAGAATTTATTAATATAATAACCTCTAACTGTTGGTAAAGGCGAAGACTTTAGTAAGAAGGGATTTACTATAAAATGATGGCCAAAAAATAAATACTCAAGGGTTTTACTATTTTTTATATATTTTAAAATAAGAAAACATATTTCGTATTTTTTTAAATATAGATAAAATACTATTATTAAAGTAAAATGTGTATTTAATACCAATAAAAATGACATTTAAAATTCAATAATTTTTAATTCTTGTGATGGTTGTCTGTGATGGTGTGTGATTGTAAAAATTTGTATTTTAATGTTTGGTAATACATACTAATTACGTTATATTCGACACTAGTCAAACAAAAAAAAAATGAGAAAAAATCTAGAGATTAATAATTATTCATTGTTTTACTTCGTAAACGATTATTTTATTATAATGTTAGAAAGAGAAAGCGTAGTCAAAATTTCATTATGGATGAGAAAGAAAAGAAGGTGAAATTGGTTTATACATACAAAAATATTGTATTGAATAAAAGAACAGAAAGTACTTCCAATCAAATAATTTGGTCATTGTCGATATATTTTTGGTCCGCGATTGTTATTTACGTTGATAATGGTAGAAGCAATTCCTAAATTCTCCAAAAGTTCATATAATATATCACTTATCTATCTTCGTTGCTTAAGAGCTCAGTTTATTATGTGCCGGTTTAAGAGCCGTATTTCTATATATTTTTAGGGGGCATTTTAACATTTAGGTGACCTTTAACTGTCGGTGAAACAGAAACTGTCCCCTAACAGTCCCCTAACCATGCTTAGGGGATCCCTTAAACTTAGGTGACGTTGGTGAAATCGGTCATAAGACAACAATATAGGATATTCGTATCGTATCAATATAGGTATACTCGCGATATTTTAGTGCAGACTATTAACTAATAAGGTTTATACTCGTATATGAAAATTTTCTAAAAAATCTCTAAATACGAGACCCATTTTGGTTGGTTTACTATCGGGCGCGTTAAGAATGAACGGAGTACGCAGTGACGTAGATGAGTCATAGAGATTTAGGTTATCAATTTAATTTAGTCACCATTTATTTAATTTAGAAGGATTTTCATTTCATTGATGTTGTTAAAGAAACGACGAAAGTCATTACTGTCATTGACTAAATATATCATAGCCTAATTTGTAATTTATAAGAATGCATTCTATTCACCGATGAGATAAAAAAACACTTAAAATGCATTTGTTGCTCATAAAATATTCAATAGTTAGTACATAATAGAATTAGTATCTCCGCACCCGTGAACTAACAATATGTTAATGTATGCTATTCATTGTACCACTGTAATGCAAATAAACCAACAACACTGCAAAATGCAAAGATCAAATTATTGTAAGGTATTATATTGGGAATAACAACTAAGAGAACAATATAAATACTAACACTCTATCGTTTGTGAGAATCTGAACTACATTATGCCCTTTTGCAACATTTACAGGTCGTAACAGTTTATCTTGAAAAATAACGTAGGTATATGTTTAGAAAATATAAACGTTAGCAAATATATTATTATACTTTTGTAGATATTTAACTAAATAAATATAACACTATATAAGATATAATATTTGACGTTTGAAATAAAATTATCTTTTCTGATTTAAAATGTTTGTTCTTTTTGAATGCTTTACAGCAATCATGGTCTCTCACATCGAGGGATGGGTCTATCTCATGACCAACTTCGGCAACTAAATATCAAAATAAATCCGAAAAGATATTTTCATTTGTACCAATTATGTTATTCTCGTGGTGTTTTATTCCTACCTTGAGACAAGCTAGGAAAAACTCCATTCCACGGTTATCCAGGAAGCGTTGGCAGTTTTGCGGGGTTTCGTCTGTAACGTTCCACATGGTGGACCAAGCGACCTCCAGTACATCATCACAGACGTGCCTGTCTAGGCGGTCCGAGATGAGATTTAACATTTTCTGCAACAAACATAAGTTACTAAGCATTTATATGTAATCATTTAAATACGTAAGTACATCGAATGATATGCCATTGCCTATTTGTTTGTCCAATGTGACTTTGATCAAAGAAGTTGAATGAATGTTATAACATTGTACTATATATAAGCTGTATGCTTGCGGCGAAGATGATTGATAGTGAGGAGTTTGATAGAGTGATAATGAGGCTATTTAGAAAAATTGACTATAACGTGGCCAATCGTATTAAACAAAGAAATTATATTATAAATATATACCTACTATATTTCATATAAATAATTTAACGCGATAGAATTTTTACAATCATCGCCTTGCCGTGGAATTTGGTATTTTATTTAGCGAATTTAACAGTAGGTATCTATACATATAATAAAATTGTAACTAAGCCGAATCTGTAAATTAAGTATTTTTTGGAAAATCTTATTAAAATAGACTTTATTATCGATACAGAGGCCGAATCTATAAATTTTAGAATTTTTGCCTGTCTGTCTGTCTGTTACCGCATCACGGGAAAATGTGTTAAGTGTAGTGTGTGAAAATGTGTTAGTAATTATAATCAAATTTTAATGGCGTTCTCCACGCCGTTTTCGCTTCACAACATTCAATATTGGAATTTGCATCAATACTCTATTATAATATATATTTAGGGCTTTTGTTTAGACAAAGAAATATAAAGGCCAAAATAATAAAAATATCGAGAAAGTAGAGAGACATTTATCAAAAATAAAATATATAAATAAATATGACATAAGAAAAATCGCATTATGGTTAAAATTATAAGAGTTAAAGTTACTCTTTTAATGTTTATATCGCATAATTAACTAAGCGTTAGAACGATAGCGCAAGAAACTGAAGTTCATGAACCACAAAAAAATAATGGGTCGCAATCTGTTCTATAGTCTGATATGACATTCTTATTTCATGTATTTATATTTCTAAATAATAAATATTATAAAGAGGCAGAGTGTTTATTTGTTTGAAATCTCAGGAAGAACTAATCCGATTTGATAAATTCTTTTTGCATTAGATAGCATGTTTATTGAAGAAAGTTATAGGCTATATATCATCTATATATGACATTTTTATAATATAATACAATAGTCTATGCATTGCATACTAACTGTTAAAATGTACCTAGGGACGAACCCGAGCGAAACGAGGGAGAGTCGCTAGTTTCTAAATAAATTATAATTTATCTTTACAAATTAGAGTATTATGAAATTCAAATGTAATATATCCTAAATGTGATAAACTACTAAATAATGTATTTAATACTAACTGTTATAATCCATACTAATATTATAAATATGAAAGTGTGTTTGTTTGTTTGTCCTTCTTTCATGTCGAAACGGAATGACGCATTGGCGTGATTTTTTGTGTGGAGATAGTTGGAAGGCTGGAGAGTGACATGGCCACTTTTTACCGTGGCAGATTATCTCATCCTCACGGGAATACACGTTATAATACAACCAATAAAATATTTGTGATCAGAATTACTTGAAATTTGGTATTATTGTTCTTCAATACAATTAAATAAGTGTTTTACAATTTTTCAAAAATCATCCCAAAAGTGGGTAAAATAGCGGATGAAAGTTTGTATGAAACCTACCATTTGAATTTTTTGTAGTTTCAGTGCGAATAAAGCCGTTCACAGAAGCCGGTATGTTAGTAATAATAAAATTAAATGTTAATTCTTTATACTGAAACTCAAGGGACCGAGCATTTCTTTCGTTAGTTTCCGTTACATCGACTGAAAAAAGAATATTAACCTAATTTCACTAATCACAATCATTTTTAATATGTATGTGTTTTAATAGGCCATGTTATTCTAAAATCTAAATTAAATACATATTGTCTGTTAATTTGGTGTATATTAACTGTGTTTTTGGATAAGGTGGGATCATCGTTCATGAAACAATGATAATTCTAATAGTTTAGCAGCATCAAGAGCTTATCAAGCAATTGTTGGTGGTTCAGACTAATTCAGTTCATAATCTTTATTTTGTTTCTCCCTATTTTTGGGGTAGGCTATATTCACAGACTAGATCTATTCATAGAATGTTTACAGTAACTAATTTGTAATTATCAGTTTTAATACAATTTCTAATGACTTTTTATAAACCTCTACCTCTACATTACCCACTGCAGTGAAACCCAAAGGAGGGTTATGTGTTTAATCTGTATGTATGTATGGTTGATCCGATTTGGATGATTCATAAAGTCATTCGATTCGTCTTGATAACGCGAGTGTCATATAGATATCATTAAAAATGAAAATGGTGGGTTTTTGTTATTTTTGTAAATAATTCTTTTATAGCAGTGGTTGCGAAATAGATTAACAATCCTGTAAGAAAAATAAAATTAAATAATACTTTCGTAAATCTAACCACAATTTACAATTTTACTGTTTTAAAAAAAAAATTCTATGAGGTAAAGTATATATTGCGCATTTGATGGAACTGTTTGCATAGTTTCGTTTTAATTTTTACTAACCCCGGTTACAAGCAGTTAAAGTCGCCATTGATATATAAAAATAGTTGTATACCAATGATAGTCATCCACTTGTTTTCATTGTTTTTAAATTTGATTATAGAATCCAATCGGAATCCGGTTTGGGAGCAAAATATTGAAAACCTGAAGTTTTATGATTTTAAAATGTTAGCAGGTATATAAGGAATAGAAATTCGTAAAATACCCCCAATGCCCAGCTACCCTCGAGAAATGGGAGAACGCAAAGCGTTGAAAAATAGTTTTTTTCAATTTCCGGTTTACTGTGTGACGTTCTATCGAAAAATGTTTTCTACAAAAGTTGTAGGTCTAGTAAAAATCTACAACTTTTATAAATAACACCTGTTACAATAACCTCAAAGTTTTCGAGATATTTGCAGAAAATTCGGTTTTTAACTTTTTCTTGCTTTTTTATTTTTAATTTCTAGAATAATCTTTTGATTTTCATGAAACTAAGAGAATGTAATCTTCGAAATACGTATAATAAATAAATAAAAATTGAAATGTTTAGCCATTTCAGAGGAGAGGAGGAGAGGAGAGAGGGTTAAAATCACCCCCAACTTCAAGTGGACGTACCTTTAAAAAAAAAAAAATTGAAATGTTTAGCCATTTCAGAGGAGAGGAGGAGAGGAGAGAGGGTTAAAATCACCCCCAACTTCAAGTGGACGTACCTTTAAAAAAAATTTCGTTCAATTTTCAAATAGGGCTCATTCTTTTCATCTTGAACTCTACTTTTTGAAAAAATAAAGACATTGTATAGTCGTCCTGCAAAAATACCCTTAAAAAATTTTAAAATTGGAGAAATCGATAATTTTACTTTGTAAACTACATTTTTTTCAATTATCATTGAAGAAGTGTACTTTATTGACTAAATTTTTATAAACTGATTACACCAATGTATTTTTCGGGAAAAAAAGAAAAAGATGGCCTCCCTCAGTTTTTAATTTGACGCTTAGTTTTTATATAATGTCGCCGTAAACATTCCAACTTTGCAATTTGATGAGTCGTGAAAAAATAATAAATGTGGAATTCACGTAAAGTATGCGAATGCTTTTGCATTTTTTTGCCGTAGAATCTATTTAGATTATTATTTTTTCAAATTTATCGATATTTTAATCGTTTTTGATCGATTTTGGAGTTAAATTTATTAATTTTTTGAAAAAAAAAACAGATATTAAGGTAATTACAGAAAGAAATGAAATTCATTCATAGTTGAGGAGTTAAAAATATAATTTTAAAAATTAAGTTGATATTTACAAAATTTATTCATAGCTTGCTTAAAAAATCATAAAAAAATGTCATAGACTTTTTATCCCGGAAAATGTACGATTCCCGTAGGATAGATTTGTTTTTGTTTTCCTAGAGCGTACCCAAGCGAAGCTAGGGTGAGCAAAAAAGGAGAGGTGAGTAAAAAAGAAATGGACCTATTATTTGTGGTGGATGGATGGATGGATCGGTGGTGCATGGATATTTTCCATGCACGACCTAATCAAGTACATAACCTCCAGTTAAATATCGCAGATCAGATCACAGATCGCAGGATAATAGTTAAAGAAAAATTATTTTTTCGGGCGTCGAGAATTTTCGGTCGGTCATCGGAAGCTATGACTGAATCATTCGTTACGGCTTCGTGTTATTATCAATATTTTACAATATTGAGCGATTAACTTTATAATTATATTTTTTTATTATATTCAATTTTAAGCGAATTGAAAATGTAGGAATTTTCTTATCGAAAAATAGTGATTAAATTGTCGTCTTACTATATGGCTAGTTCCTTATAAGTCACATATGTATGTATGTATGTATTTATGTATGTATGTATGTATGTATGTATGTATATTCTATAAGTACTAAATTAATCAAAACTCTTTTCTCCAACATTACATGGGGAACCTTTTACAATTGATAATATCTTTAGGTAAAATTAACTTTTTAAAGTTCAAAGGCTTCCATTATATATTAAAGGCTTTGTTTTCCAAAAATATTTGATGTACAGATAAGACTCAGTTAGAATTTTAGTATATGTATACATAGACTAATCCGTGCCCTAATCATTTTTATGCTAACAAGAAATTTTGATTTGTCATTTTCCTTAGAAGCCTGCAAATAAAAGTTAGCCCGCAGAGGCGGAGCCAAATAAACCGAGTGATATTACTTCCATATTGTATTTTGTAGAATGTTGTTTTTCACATGTGGGAGATAAAGTCTGTACTGTTGACAACTTCGGCACTACCTTCGTATTTTTATGACATTTGATATTTATGTTATCAGTGACTCATACTATAGTATACGGTCATATTATATAAATACTCTTAAGGTGTCGACAGATCAGGGGCCGTACCACCATCTCTTCAACGCATTTTTACTTCAAGACTGTTTAGTTTCAAGATAACAATAATCTTACTTTTATTTGTACTATGAGTTATGACTTCTAGCAGTCCAGCAGCTCTCGAGTTATAAGTGTTGTAGGAAATCCGACTTTGTTTTATTACATATCAAAATAGAAATATATAATATAATATGTAATAATGTATAATAGAAATATGTAATATATATAACTTTATATATATATATATATATATATATATGTATATATATGTATATATATATATATATATATAACGCCAACAATTTTGGCACGCTTGGCGTAATAACAACAACAACATTGCAATCAACGAATGAACAGCTCTAGATTGTTGGTACCAATCGCAAACACCGAACAACAGCGTTCTGTTATAATAGACTTTGACGTCACATTCGGTCTGACCAATAGCGTTGCGTTTCAACTACTTCTTATTTCCCATCTATTTTTGCATAGTATTTGAATAATTATTTTCTTAATCAAAAAGATATTACATTAAGAAACATTGATATATATATATATATATATATATATATATATATATATATATATATATATATATATATATATATGCATATGGCTTAGTTCAAAAGCAACAAAGATTATAAAAAAATATTTCACCTTTATTTAAATCACACGTGTGTTCTCTATAATGTGGTTTTATTTGAGAGGACAGATTTGCTGAGCTAGATCAAAATCACTAGATTCGCAATGCACTATTAGAGTTTATAGTGTTAAAGAAATACAAAAGCAGACACCAAAATATCTCACAGAATAATCTAGTACTTATTTATTTTTATTTATTGTATTAAATATAAATACAACATAAAAAATTCGCATGGCAAACTTTTCAACTAAATATTTCATTACATTTTTGCTTTCAAAAATATATTTTGCATAAAAATACACTGTTTAATAAGCATCGAGTAGAAATATCCAATAATTGAAGAAAAATCGCATTGCTTGAGAGCAGAGTTTGAAAGTATTTGAAGACACAAAAATGATCTTTTAATAATATGTAATTAAAAATTATATATGTCTATAACACTTTTATGGTAATAGTTTTTATACATAATAATATATTTGACACAAGATATATACATATATATATATATATATATATATATATTATGTAGTAATATGTACCAATAGTTAATGCCACACCTATATAATATTAATAAATATAGATATTAAATATATCAAAATACGCGTTGCAATCTATGTATTTTAATACTTAAACAGTACATATGTAGTTTTAGTCACACTTAGACTTTTTACGTAATACATTGTACTTTCTATTTCAGGGTTGAAAGATTCACATCTTACACATTCCGCCAGCGTTGTGACGCTACGGTCGTTTTTTTAAAAGTTTAATTTAATCGTCAAATATCGTTATTGCATTTAACATCAGTAAATGTGCATAGAACATTAATACAATATTCAAGTGAGGAAATCGAACTAGTTACCAACACAGATGCTGCTTTTTATGTACATGTGAGAAAAAGAGGGGAAATAAAATACAGCAGTTTTTTTTTATTTTATGACTAGCGAATTTCCGCTTTGTTTTTAATTTTGCACTTCAAAAACCCAGTTACTATACTTCGCCAGAACCGGGATTCAAACCCAGAAACTCAGGATTTGCAGTCGTGCATGCTAAACACTAGACCAACGACGAAGTTATATATAGATTCACGTACGAGTAAAAAGTTCCGCGGGAACCTCAACTTATGTCTTTAGAAATTGAAATAAAGTTAAATAACTACAAACTTTTTTTACAAACTAATTATAATAATAGATGGTTACAATTTATTTATAGTGATGTATAAATATAATAAAATTATATAAGACAATTGATTTACGGTTGTCTTCTATTCTAATTGAACATTTTTTTTTCAAATTTAATTTCATAAATAATCGGGAGTCGCAAGAAAACAGTGTTCCTAACTATATTTTATATTTTTTGTACGCGTTTTAAGAACTGTTTTTTTTTTATATCATTAGCAAAAATCACCAGAATTGCTGAAACTATTTTCGGCTACCATAGATAGCCATAACAAGTTTTCAACTTAAAACAAGTCAGCCATTGATATAGCACGATATCAATAACTTTCTATAAATTAAACAGTCATGTTTTTTTTGTTTCTTTTCTAAATATCTAAAATCAAAATCGCATAACAGTCATAGGTATAGAGAAAGAAAAAGTTTTTATTATGAGGTAGTTTTTGCCTATAGCTGCACGTATTTTCATGTAAAGATCAGTAAAGATGATCCTTTTTCGATAACTTCATTATGTATAAATACTCCAATTAATTTATTTATTCCGCAGTACAAAATAAGATACTTCAAGACAGACCAATAAGTTAAAACGTCTAAATAGTTAAGCGTCCCTATTGATTTATAAAGGGAATTTGTTAAAGCACGTTTTTTTTTAAAATCATCTACTTACCTCAATAGCTCCATTGTTGCCAAGGAAACGCTTCTGTTTGCCGTCCACCTGGCACGCCAGCGAGTTGAGGAGATAGATAGCTATACGTTGCACGAAACCCTCTTGATTAACGTCAGCTACCCCGTTTAAAAGAATCTGTACCACACGCTCATATTCGAACAACTGAAACCAAAATAAAAATTTACCTATATTATATTCAGTTATCTCAGATTATATTATATTTTATACTATTAGCGACAAACTTATATGATGTAAAACAGAGAATTCAAGTGAAAGATCTGATGAATTTCTTTCAAATTATATAAAGCCTTACCTGTTGTTTTAATTTTCAGATCAAATTTAAAAATTTGTAACGTTTCATTTAGTACTGCGTTTATATAAAAATCAAATCAATAATTTATGCTATATATAAAATGTTAATTAAAATTTTTAGGAGTCATATGTTAACATTATTATTATTCAAGTGCATACATCTATATAAAGCAGTATATACACGACTAAATTGCATAGGCTGAAGACTTGTTTGGATTTAAACGAGCAAGTATCTGGAACCAGTCAAATTTGTAAAATAATTTCTGCACTATAGCACATTTATTATAATTGAATAAACTACACGGATCTACTACTGTCACCAGGCAGAACCGCGGAAATAGCTCGTTAACAACATAACTTAGTCTATTTAATAGAAATATCTATTAAATAGACGCCGGCAATAAATACTACTAATCACAAATATGTAACTATAACAGTAAAATAACAGTAATTCATTACTGAGATTAAATTGTACCTACGTAGTTAGAATATAAATTGTACATTTTAGAGGTGAATTTGAAATATAATTTGCATTATTTATGAAACGATGCACCAATTCATTTATTGAAAACTGCGGAGTGGTTATTTAGTTATTGATTTTTTACTATATTAAATTAGGTTCATCGAATATCGTAAATCTATATACGGGCATTCCACGCTTAATCGGACGGACGGTTTCAAAAAAAAATATTTTTGATTTTTTTAATATATTGGTACCTCTGAAAAGACGCTTCCTGGTAAATTGAGATTTTTTTGGATCACTGGTTCAAAAATATCGAATTTTCAAAAAACCGTTCCTTTTTTGGTTTTTTGCTAATAACTTTCTTAACAATGGTCGAAGTTCAATTTTTCGATTACCTTTACATAAAACAATATTAAAAAAATATTTAAAATGTTTTCATCGAGAATTGTGAATTTTAAGTTTTCTATCGTGTTTTTAAAACATTTTACTTATCTCCTTCGATTTAAAAAAAAAATCTATTTCAAACTTCTATCCATCATGCAACTTTTAAGCCCAGTCCGGTACTGGGATTTCCATAATTACTAATTATTTTTTTCGATTTTTAAAAATTGTTTTTTTTTTCATTTCAAAAAAATTTCAAAAGTTACCAGGAAGGAGGAAGCAAGGGTGAGTGGCTAGTATAATATAATAAGTACCCGTAACTAAAAAGATACGCCTACATTAAAATCGCTTTAAAGGTTTCCATCCTAAAGGCGGAATTTTCTTTCTTTATGTGAGGGCGGTTCACAAATAGGCAAATCGATATACATATGTAAAAACGATATGTCACCCACGTTTATAACGAAATCTCGAAAAAAATTTATCCACCTACTACCAATTTGAAATATAGTTGGTGGATTCCTTATAGATGTAGATATCCGTTAAGGGATGAATTTACTTTATCGTTTTTGAAACCTACTGGATTAATACTTTTAGTGACTTTTCGGTCGAAGTTATTTCTACGATTTAGTACCGGTAAGTAAGCTGCTTATGTTATAAAAGTATTTACTAGTAGCCGGTTAAAAACTGTTGAGTATTATTCGAAAGTTTCAAATAACGGACAGCTCGAGCAAATGTAACCCGGCGGCTTTTGACGTTCAACCTTTGCAGGCCCTAATTACAATTCAGGGATAAATATGAAATTACGGACAAGTGCGAGTCGTACTCGCCCACCGAGGGTTCCGTACAAATTTGTAGGAAACTTTCATTTTCAACCTTTTTTTATTTTTTTGTAATTTTTCCTTTATTTGTGCTGTAAGACCTTGCTTTTTGTCAAATTTCGTAATTCTAGGTCAACGGGAACTACCATATAGGTTTTCGATCCAAAACCTATAGGGTACTTCCGGTTGAGCTAGAATTCGTCAATTTTGGTTAAAAGCAAGGTCTTACAGCACAAATAATGGGAAACTTTCGAAAAATAAAAAATAAAAATTCCGAAAAGTAAATTTTGGTATTTACAAGTTTTCGCGAAAATCTAAATCAACTTGAGAACTCAACTTGCTTGGTCCACCCGTTCCTGAGAAAATCGGTGATGACGCACCGACAAGAGAGTGATCTTATAAGGGTTCCTTTTTTACCTTTTGAGATACGGAACACTAAAACCGAAATATCGTATCAAAAATCTATTAAAATTGTCAACTATTCATCAAGATCTATTGGAAAAATACGTATCTAAATTCTATTCTTAAGGAGTTGTGTAAACTTTAGACTTATCTTACAAGTTTCAGATCTATGTAATTGACTACAGGGCTATTACATTAAGAAAAATGTATCAAAATTCAAGTTGACGTAATAAAATGAAATAAGTAACAAAAATATATTCCATTGTGACTTTTAAATCTTACACCTGGGGAAGGAATTCAAAACATTTGAACAGCAGAAAATGAAAAACATATTAAAATGGGTCGACAGAAGTGATGATGGAGTGATGCCACAGACAAACAGTCCGAAAAACATTAAGAAAACAAGAATACTCTTTAGTTCCATTGGATTTCATTTAATTTCATTACAAAGTTAAATTTTAATTTTCATTTCACTTTTATTATTAAATGATATATTTTAAGAAAAAATATTTTCTGGAATAAAAAAGAATAGCCCTATATTATAGTCGATCTCTAGTAAGGTTTTTTTAATATAGTGAGCCACCATAAATAAATTATTTCAATAAATTATCTTTAGAATATATCTGAGGGCCAATAACAAATAAAAAATACATACCAACCAACCCAATAAGATAAATAAGGATGAAACGAAGACCTGCCAAGGTTTTCCATATTTATATAATTGTAATTTTTTTTAAAGGTTTTTTGTATACCCACATGTACCATTAGCATAATTATAAGAAGAAATTACTTACCACATCAGTTGGTATTTTGAACTGGCAGAGTGTAAGACAGCCATTTCTCATCATTGTATCATCACCGAGATGGGCTTCCATTCCATCAAGTAGAGCCGTTATTATGCGCCGTTTCAAATTTATACCAATGCGTGGCTTTTCTTTGCCCTTAACTATGTAGAATAGAGTAGCACTAAAAAAAAATATTCAGATCAGTAAAAAAGGTATAAACTGTTTTATACCTTAAACTTAATTTACAATGCAAATTAATTAAATTATATTCTTATTTTATTATTATGCCATGTAAACTTAGACCCAAATATACTTAACCTATACTAATATTATCAAGAGGTAAAGTTTGTGAGTTTGTGATATTGTAGGAGGTAATCTCTGGATCTACTGATTTAGATGAAAATTGGTAAGGTAGTTTGAGACCCTGGGAAGGACATAGGATACTTTTTATCCCGGAAATCATCCCTTAAGGGGGTGAAAATGGGGATGAGTGTTTGTATAGGAATCAAGCTAGGGATGAACCCGAGCAAAGCGAGGGTGAGTCGCTAGTTTAAAATATACAGACCTGCCAGATATTTGGATGTGTTTTTCTGACACATGCTGCTCCATTGCGTCTAGAACTACAGTGAGTGCCCGACCAACGTAAGAATTATATCTTTCAGTACTGCGGAACATGTAATATAAATCATTTAATACTCGTGTCAATACTGCTGGACGGTCCATGTATGCCACTCCAGCAGTAAGAATCTGTTCCTCATTTGCATCACCAGTTATCTATTTAAAAATAAAATTGAATGAGTTAAAAATATACTTTAGAACATAAAAATTATATCATTTATTATTATTAATAAATAAAGAAAAAAATATCTTACCACTTTAGCTGGAATATCATGTCTTTTGCAAGCTCCATGATGAGTTCCATATAAGCCGAGAAATTCAAGGGGTCTATCTACACGACTTACAAGGCCTGGGATATCACAACGGACATGTACTTCTGATCCATCAGAAGGTCCCTTAGTCAACGCTGGTACAGCTGAACCTGTGCCTGCTAGATTTGTCCCAGATATGTCCAAAGACTCTAGCAGAGGCAAATTTGTTACGACCTGAGCCAAAACCTCGTTTGGATTGAAATATTTGCCTTGTCTCTCATTTGCCTGTGATATATCCAGGTGGCGAAGTGTTTCCAAAGTTGAAATCCAGTCAATTATATCTCTTGACCATAATACACTATGAAGTACGAGAGATTTTAAATTTTTTAGCTCATGTAGTGCCCATGTTGTATTTGATTGATATTCAGACAGATCTAGGTGAGTCAGTTGATGTAATTGACGTGGTTTAAGTAAAAGTAGGGGGAAAATAGCCATACCTCTACAATGTATAGTCAATCGTCGTAATTTTGGAGCATTAATTACATAGCGACGGGGACGGAACAGGTTCTCCTGGGGCTCTTGTGAGAACACATATGTTAGAGGGCCAAATTTTAAAGAGACTAGATTTTCGCTGTTATTGTTAATTATGTCTATTGACGCTTGTGACAGGTATTCACATTGTACCAATTCCACTTCATGAGGTTTATGTTCCATTAAGAACCTAAGACCTTCATCTGTAATGCGTGAGTTACGCAGCCTCACAGAATCTAGACGAGTTCGGGTACGGTCACGAAACAAGTTCGCGATATTATTATTGACACGGTTCTTTTTTTGGTAGGCCTGTAAAAATTTTTCACAAATCTCGACTGGTAGTATAATATCGTCTTTTAACTTGCGCCACCGGCTTGTTGTATCTAATTTCGTAATTATGTTTAAATTAGCGACAATATAGTCCATGCATAGGTTAAGAAGTGACTCTGGTGAGCTATCATATATACGTTCTGAAGACATAGTGAAGTTGTACGCTACTATCTTTTAAGTCATATTAAAAATCACAGTAGCACTTTTTCAAGTCCATAAAAGCAATTAAATAAACTTATTATCAGTTGTACTACTTCATAGACCACTGTTTACTTTGATGTCCAAATGGGAAGAGGTCTAGCGTTGAAATGGTGAAATTCACTACACAGTACACTACTCCAGACTTAGAAGAAATATTATTTCGCACAATGCAACGACAACGATAGACATTTCTCTATGTGAGACCGACGTGGATTCTAGCGTTTTTAGCTCACAGATAAAAAATAAATAAGTAAGAAATATTACTTACGAGCCAAATATTGTTTTTTTTTTAATTTCATGGTTATAAATGTAGTTATAATAGTTTTATAACATTTATTATTATAATAGATTCTTAAAATAATTCTTTAGCGTCTCAATCTATATTCATTTTTGTATTTCTTTTAAATACATGTGAAGAATTTTGTGTAACTGGTCAAAAAGTTTTATTAAATACTTGCAGAACCCGCGGCTTCGCTCGCGCTAAAACTACAAATAATCTCTAAAAACGTAGTATCATACAAACGTTCATCCCCTATTTTACCTCCTTGTAGGATGAATTTCGGAAAATGCTGAAACACATATTTATTTAATTTTATTGAAGAGCATTAATACCAAGTTTCAAGTAATTCTGATCATAAATATTTTTTTGGATTGTATTATAACGTGTTTTTTCCATTGGAATAAAATAATCTCCCGCGGTAAAAAGTTGCCTATGTTACTCTTCAGCCCTCCAACTATCTCCACACAAAAAGTCACGCCAATCCGTCACTCGTTTCGATGTGAAATAAGGACAAACAAACAGACAAACAAACAAACACACATTCACATTTATAATATTAGTATGGATATGGATATAGTTTACATATTCGAATAATTTAAATACATCTTAGTATTGCACATAATGCATATTAAGTAATTATTCTAAGTTTATATATTACTAAACACAAAATTAAAGAGATAACTCAATATAGATATAGATTTAGCAAATTAGTTAAAAATATTTTCTAATTAATAACTTTCTAATTATTTAATTGTTACATCATCAATAAGCCTACTGCAGTCTACTAAAGGAAGGCCTCTTTCAGTGAGCGCCAACCATCCTGGTCCTTGGTAGCCCATGTCATCGTTAGGTCATCTGTCCATCGTGCAGCATGCACTACGCTTGCCTAAAACTCTAGCACGTGTCGGCTCATTTGTCAGATCAGTGTCAAATTTATATTACTATAAAATATTTTAGTTACTTTTAAGAGTGTTCATTATTGATATCGATCAGAAAACATTAATAATCTCAAGCTATAATTTTTATAAAGAAACATGTGTGTATACGCACGTAAGAAGTTATACTTCTTTGACGTTACAAAAAAAAAATAGCTAAAGTTTTCATCCCGTATGTCACAATTCTCTTTTTGTAAGGAGAACGATAAATTAATAAAAAAAATATTGCAATTAAATTAAGACAAAACAATAATTAAATAAGCCATATTAGGCATATTATAATCATATATGTATAGTATATAGAATATCATTTAAGGAAAGAATATAATATTGTATATTTGTCAGACAATAACAACCGCTACCATGGCAACAAACAGTTATCAGCCAACTTCATCATATCGCTTTTTGGCTGTGGGTGTGCGCGCGCATCGTGAAAATTTTACTCTCATATTTTTTCCAAACGTCCCAAAAGAAGTATAACTGAAAAATTACGAATTTTGTAATATTCAACGTATGGCATTCTTCATATTAATTTTATCAATTTCAATCAGCTTACTGTACCGAACTGTCACAATTGAATACATAGACAATCTTTATTTTGTGCACTGCACTAGCTTCCTGTTATATTGCTCCACTGCACTATGCATCCCTTTACCCATCTTCATTCATACGGATTTCCACATGACTAGATTTTCTCTACATACTACGCCACACCTACTAGAGTTTCCACGCCCATTTATAATACTATCTCTTTCGAACACTGGCTTGACGAGTGCCAAAAAAGGACCTCTTGCTACAGGAAGCTTTATTGTGCACAAATTCCAGGAAATTAATTCAGGCTTTTTTTATAGCATTCAATAAGCTTTATGTCGATAAAGTAAATTTATTATTAATTAATTGCAATATATTTTAATATGATTCAAAACGTACAAGAAGAAATAATGACAATCGAATGTAACTATTATTAGTACATTATAACGATCCGCCACCTACCTTTTCTCGAAGCACTTCATCGTTTTTATGAACCCTCATAACTTGGGTTTGGATTATACCAGATAAACAAAGTTCTCGGGATATGATTTCAATAGTGGACATATTAAACACTAGCGACTCACCCTCGCTTCGCTCGGGATCGTCTCAGGCTTGCTTCCCCATACAAAGTTTCATCCCCATTTTCACTATCTTAAGGGATGATTTCCGGGACAAAAAGTATGCTATATCCTTCCCAGGGTCTTAAACTATCTTCTTACCAAATTTCATCTAAATCGGTTTAGTAGATCCAGAGATTACCCCTTACAATTTTACAACTGTTTATAATATAAGTATAGATAAATATAAATATCTTACATTTTGACAAAACAGTGTCAATTTATTTTTTAAATAATTTTGTCATTATGAAGAAACTGAATAACTGAACGTCAATCTGTCAACTCACTTTTACACTTTTATTTTTTAACCCAAATTTTTCACATTTCCGTACAATTTTTCAAATATTTCTTTCACCCAAACCTTGTCCTGACAATAACAAATACAACAAAAAAAGAATTAGCCTAATAGGTGCAGCCGTACCGAAATAGTTCGCTTACATACATTTGGCAATAGATTTTTATTTCATAGTTTTTTGGTATGTAAACTAGTATTAGTACATAAACAACAAAAAAATTTGGAAATTTTTGAGCGCGCGCAAAACGCCTAATATGTACCCGCTGTGATGGATCATAAAGCAAATACAGCGCGAACGTCTCCTGCCCCCTAGTTCCCGAGCAGTAGCTAAAGAAATAAACCCCAAAAAATAATGAGAAAATGAACAAATTAAAAAAAAATATTGTCATAAGCAACTTACAAAAAATAAATATATTATAAAAATAAAAAAAACCCGACTGCATAAAAGTTGCCTAAAAATATGAAAACAAGTTCACGATGGAATATAGTATTATGCAGTCGGAGACATACATACCAGTATGTATGTTCAGCTAGGATGAAATGTGTATCGTTTCCATCGTTCCATACTCTACACCTTAGTCCAAATATGGGGCTTGGCAGTTTCGCTACTATCACATGGGCTTAAGGTGACAAATTTATTCACTGTTCGTTACTTTTCTGTTGTACAATAGTTCCTGTAGTAACGATACAGCCATGCCACATATTTTCACTAAGGTTAAGAGTTTGTGAAGTTAGAGCTTGTAAAATTAGGGCGTGTAGAGCTGAAGCTTGGCTCTACATGAGATCTGATAACTTTTTGACAGTGCGAACTATTATGGTCTCGTCTTTGCAACACTTAGGTACATGAAAAAGTTTTTGGTGGGATTATTATTTCCTTTATAACCGTTCGGCTGAATGAAAGCTAAATAATTTACCAGAAACATGACATTTACGTCGTTCGGAGTCGTCGCTTAACCTCTATTTTTTTACAATCTTAAAAGTATTCAACATGTTTTTGAATTTAACGGGAGAGGACGTGCGTATTAAATGGTTTTTATTGTTTCTTGGAAATAAGAGTTAAGGAACCATATGTAATGATAATGACAAATTCTATATTATATTATTTATTTCAAACAACAACTACAATCGTTATTTTATCTTCGTACAATTGCAAATATAGCTACAAATATAACGATCGCCTGCCGGAAGGTCGATATATGAGAAAACTACATTATATGTATACAATAATAAGAGAAAGATTTAAGCGCATTTGTTAAAAATAGTCAAATTTAAAACTAATGATGTTATCAAATTTGAATATATTAGTATTGCCAGAAGCCAAATATTAAATACAACCAGGCAAATATACTGATCCTACATTAATGTTAATAGCCAATATAAATTATTCTAACAGCTATTATAACTATATTTAATAATAATATAACGTTACATAAATTATTTTAGGTACAATTCAGGGCTTATACACTTGTGTTGTTATTAGTACAGTCCAAGAGTGCGACACTTTCTTACATACTAAAAGAACGTCGATACGCGAATGTTACTTTTAAGCCGATAATTAGATAATTATTTTAAATCCATAGCATGACCGAATAATTATAAACTACGCCCAATACACATTCACTCATACTGTCATCGATAAAACCGATTATCTACACATACAAAATCTACTCTATTCTTAAAAAATATGTAATTACGTGTAGCACATGTATCGCTCGTCATTAAAAATACCGAATAACATGAAGGAAACGAACACATCGGAAATTTACTCCTATATACATCGCGAAGGCTTAAAGTGAGATTATTCCGTGCATCCGACCGAATCAGAAACTGTCCCGCTATATCAGGCAGCATATTTTCTAAGGCGAAGCACTCTGTTCGATGGCATCGATGTGCGCCGGTGCTCCAACGCATTCACTGCGGCGCGGAGTTAAGGTCGCGTAGATGGAGATGGTCTGCAAGTGGATGAGGTTTCTCTCTTCGCGCGTCCGGCCACTTGACTACTACGTTAGAACTGGCTGGCGGCAGCGTGACCGGTGGCTCCACCAGCACTGGCAGCCCGCCTTCTTGCTCCGGCAGGACGTGCCCGATCAAGGCACCGACGCGTTGATATGCAAGCTGTGACGGCTGAATTTCTCTCCCTTCTAGAACTCGCACCCCCGTACTCATGCGAGTGACGACGATGACGGGAGTGTCGGGCACGATATCATTCAGTGCCCTCATCAAGACTGGGGCCGAGGTCTGAGGGGCTACACACGTCGAGGAGCCCGTCACTCGAGCATTTAAATTTTCAATAACCGCCAACAACTCGTACAATCGTTCGTCGCATAATACAGGATTATCTGTAAAGAAATACTAAAAATGAGATGATATCAGCAAACAATGTGTACACTGCAAAAGAAATAGAAATCTTAGAAAACAAAAAAAAAGATACTTAAGGGCTTAAGTTATATCAACATTTTAATAAAAAAACAAGTCACCTACACTGTATTTAAAAATTCGCATTTGCAGATTCTTTATTTATATATTTCACATTCGCAATAATGCCGCATTATTAAGTAACATGCAGCGAGAAATCATTTCTTATAGTTAAGGTTTTTTGAGTTTAAGAATTTTAAGTCGACAAAAATTATTATCTATTACGAACTAAACAAACCTTGAAGATTAATCTTCAATATACTGGGTACTCCATTAATTGTGCATCTAGATTTCGACACCACTTCGTAATTTACAGAGCCAATTTTATTGTAGGACAAATCAGCAAAACATAGAGAAGGCAATCCATGAAAGTCTTTGTCCAGTAATGTAATGTTGTTATGGTGGGCGATAAGATCTTCCAGAGAAGGCAAAAACGTCTGTAAATAACAAAAAAAAACGATTTTAAATCTATACAGTCACAACATTTAACGTTGCATCTACGGAAATACGTACAGAATTCGCAAGAGCTCGCAAGCAAAAGATTGAAACAGTTACCTAGGATAATAAACAAACCTTTGAAGTTTCTTCCAAAGATGTGATATGATTATGAGAAATATCAAGCAGTCTTAGATCTTCTAATCCTATAAGATCTTCAGGCAATATTTGCTGTATTTGATTATGGCTCAAATTAAGCCGTAGAAGACCATGAAGGCCCATCAACGCTCCTCCTAAACTAATAATATGGTTATGATCTAACCGCAACTCCAATACTCGTGTCTCGACATCGACTAGATTCTGTAATTCATATGCATAATTATAGTATCTGCCATAGTTAGTTGTTTATTTATCTAGAGGAAATTGTGAAATTCGTACCTCAATATTTCCCGTAATACGACTTATCTTATTATGTGAGAGATCTATCACAGATAACCTCTTGAGACCCTTAATTTCTTGTAGAGAAAATTCGGTTAAACAATTATGAGTTAGGTTTAAATAGCGCAATGATTTAAGACTTCTCAAGGAACCGTTTAAGGACCTTAGTTGATTGTAAGCAATATCTAAATCTGCCAAAATATCTGCTTCCGCAAATTCATCTTCAGCTAGCTGTAAAATGAAAATTGATTATATTATATATATATATATATATGCATATATGTATAAAGCTTTGTTTTGAAAATATATAATTTACTTACAGATTCGATTTTATTAAATGAGAGGCCTATCCTCATAAGCCTTGTAGATTTTTGCAAAGCACCATCAAGAGATTTAATACTGTTGTCGTAAAAGTACAAAGATTCTAAAGAAGGCATCTGTCTTAGATCTTGGGGTAAGCTTTGCAACTCATTATGGGCAGCATGTATTAAAACAATTTTCTTCGCTTTCTAAAAATCAAAATTATAATTTTATTTCATTATACTTATAAATAAGATATGAGTTTATATTTTGTTAATGCAAGGAATATCTTACCACTGGTAGCTCGTTTTCTATAGATTTTAAATGATTTGCATTTATAAAAATCCATTCCAAATCATCGAGTTCTCGAAGAGCTCCATTTAAAGAATTTAATTTATTGATTCCTAAGTGTACATGCTTTAAAGGTTTCGGTAGAGCATGCCTTTCTATTTTGGAAATCTGGTTGTCAGCTACAACTAAGTTTTCAACCTCTTGAATATCCTAAAATGAGAAGAAACAATAATTCTTGAATTTATTAGTTTTCAAACTGTACTACAAGCTTTTATTTAAGTGGCTTCATCTGCATGTTTTTTTTTGGTTCAAAACTTATAATCATTTTCTCGAGCCGTTGCTGCTTTTAGAATTTTCCGAATTTTGAAATACCAACGTAATTTCGGTGACAATACAATAATATGGTATATAATTTCATTAATGATAATTAAATAGGATTTTCTAACCTATACAAATAGTATATTTTTATAACGACAGTTACAGTATTTTGCCTGTATGCATTATGCGTAAGCATTAAAAGTAATTTGTAAAATATTCCTAAATATTTACAAGAGTTATAAACCTATAAGCAATCTGTTTTATCAAATACTTTTCCTTGATATAAATTTTTGAACGTTTTGAATTTATCATAGTGAAATGTGTATTTTAAATAATTATTTGTTTTCACGTTCAAATGATTAATTACACAATGTATTTTAATTACAGAACATTTCTAATTGAACTTCGGATTGAAACAAATGAAATGAAAGTTTTAACGATATTACACACTAAAAAAAATGCTTTACATTCATCTAGCCCCTGTCAAGCCACGCGCATGTACCTACCATTTAAAAATTATTCTTTTGATCTTTAGATATAAAGGATAGTTGAGTAGTCACTCAAGTATTCTTTATGAACAACATTTTTAAAACATTCATTTTAACAGGTTAATTTCCTTACAATTTGACTATACCTATAATATAGATATCTAACTGGTCTTACTTTAAAGTCCTCTTCCGATAATTTAGTGATTTTATTTCGACAGAGATCCAACGTCTTAATATGCGGCAAATGTCGAAGCACGTGCCGGGGCATTTCGGTCAAGGAATTGTCCGCTAAGCTGAAGTAGTCCACAAGATCCAGCTTCGCGAACACGCTCTCCTTCAGTTCACTGGAAAAAGTGATTTTATCATGACAATTGGGTTTTTACTGTTTAAATGTGATAAAATAACATATATTTTACTTTTGGCTTTCAGAGAAACCAACAGAGATAAGGTATCCTATTGTATTGTTTGTCGCTTTCCACAAGTTTTGAGACTCTGGTATGATGAATGACATGCTCATTTTAGGTATTATCTTTGCCTCGTGTCGCAAGAAACCTACCGTTTGAGATCATAACATCGGTAACAAAATATATATTTACTAGTCTAGGTCGTACCAAAATTATTAGACAAAAGTATACAATTAGACATGTAAGGTTTCATTGAAATTGATTCAGTATTTTTCCATGGTGCACAAATATAAACAAACAGACATTTTTAAATTCTATTTTTATTTGATAAATATCTTCCATAATCACAATGTATTAGTTAAATATGTATAAAAGTGCTAGCTAGATTATAATATACATATATTATTAAATAATTTTAGCTTATCGCCGTATTTAATGATCCGAAACAAAATTATACCAGTGTTTTAATTTAATTGAGTCATTGTATCAGTTTGCACAACATGTGACGATGAGAATTGAACTTGACTATGAAAGTGTTTTATCATTAAAATCCTTCCTCCATAAAATCCCCAGAAATATTTTCATTTGATGTCAGTTTTTTGCATAAACAGTATATTAATGGCTAAAATTATTATTTTTTTTAAATCATAATGATCACCCATGAAATATTTTTAGGCGTAGGTATTCTACGTACATTACTGACCCAATATACAATTTCATTAAAATACTTATGTATAGATTGTTCTAATCGACAAACAAGCATTTATTAGACATTTGATAAACTATTGGCTTCTTCTCATTTCGGGTGTTATAATGTAGCTTAACGTACGACGGACCAAATGCGAGTCTAAGTACGGAAGACGAGTCCAATTTATATTATATTTACATATTTTAATGTAGCTTATTATACGAAGACATTATAAATCAAATACAATATTATTATTTTATTACTATTATATATATATATATATATATATATATATATATATATATATATATATATATATATATATATATATATATATACATTATTATTATTTATCATTTATGACGATTTAACAAGATCATTTTAAATAAAATTTAAATGAATTTTTAGAAGAACAGGAATTATCAAAACAAACTATTTAAGTTTTTATAAAAAAATATATTTATTTATTAATCCTAATGCGACAGCCGATGGTAGTATCCTTTCTATTTCCATCATGTAAAAGTAAAATATATTATGTTTTTCTAGACTTTTTATGTTAAACTTGGGACTTAAAAAAAGGAAATAAAAATCTATCTCAAACTCTCCACCAGGTATTATTTTGAAATCATGGGAACGTAAATTTTCAAATGTACCATAGAGAAGGCTAAGTACTATAGCACCTTTTTAAAAATGAATTAATAAAAAATAAAAATTCCCATTAATATTGTAGTTTCTAACCTTTGACTAGTTACCGGGGGAAGATTAATTTTCAGTGTTTAACTTCTAAATAATTTGTAAATAAATAGCCTTATTCCTGATATAATTCCTATAAGAGAATAAATACAGCATCTAGTTATTAATTATACAAAAACAAAACTAGGCTAAAATAATAAATTAATATTGTACAAAGTCTATATTAATAATATACAGAAAAACGACTAGAAATTTGTTTGTCAGATTGATACGTCCCTATTTTGATGTACTAATAGAATATTTAGGTATAAAAGGTATTTAAATTTTACATATTTAAATAGTATTTCCAATAACATGTAGTTATAACGAAGTATTTAACTTAAATGTTAGTAGATGTATTTACTCGCGTAGGTACGTACAAACTTTTCGTATCGCACCTGTAAGGTTTGTTTGCTTTCTTCATATTTTACCTACTGCGAATCAACAGATTGAGAGTAGTTGTACTTTTCCCAGTATTTTATATCAAATTAGTAATGGTGTAATTTAGGAACACAGAGAACAAAACCAGGAGAAATGGTAAGTTGCACAATGCTTTAGTAAACACAAATGTGAAGGGTCAACGTGCTCGGGGTTATCGCAGCAGGCGGCGCCAAACGTTCGCATGGTCGCGTCGCTCCACGACCATGTTACATGGAACTGGCGAAATTTTGCGGAAATGCATTCTTTTGCGCTCATTTATTATTAATAATTGAATATAGTGATAACAGTTTATCAATACCGCGCAAGAGGACAAAGGTCTCTTTAATAATTAAGTGTAAGCATTCGAATTTAAATCGTCAAGCTGTCCAACGTGTTGACACGAAAAATATTTTTAATAAAAATCAGTCAATAATATTTTTTTGCGGTACTCGATATATGAGTACACGTACCGCAAACTTGACATATATGTACACACAATGGGAAACTATGAATTCCATTTGCGCTTGAGGTTCTTAATATTAATTTAAATTGTTCAGATGGTGATGGTGGTGGTGGCGGTGGTGGTGATGATGATGGTGGTAGGTCGAGCATTTTAAAAACAAAACGTAACTTATTAAATATGTATAGTGTTATTTTATAATACTAATAATAATAAGATCCTTATTCTTATATTATGATTAAAAATTAACCCGTAAACACTGTATTCTATTTTCAACCGACTTCAAAAAAAAAATTGAAAAATTCTTTTTATGTTTGAAAGTGTATACTGTGTGTGTATACCAGTTTGGTCCCATTTAAATTTGAAGAAAAAAATACCACCACTAAGGTGGAAAAATAGCTATTAGAGATAAAACTTTTACCTACTATTTCCGTTGATAGTGTAGTGGATTCGGTATAGTCGAACTAATCCGATGATGGGACTCTTTAACGGCTAATAGACTAATTTAAGTTTGGGCTTATTTTGTTTGATTTAACAAACCCAATACGTTAGAATTGGATTTTAGAGCATAATTTTTAGTGTTATTAATAAAAGCTAATCTTAGTTTGTGAGTCTTCATATGAAAATTGGCATCAACTGAACTAACTTAAGCGGCTAAATAGAATATTTTTTTAAATACTTTTATTCTTACTTCGCTACTCATACTAAGTAACTAAAAATGGAAAAATATAAACTAAAAAAATAAAAGAATAAAAACCGACTTCAAAATACTCAAAAGTAAAAAATATCTAAATGGGAGTTTTCATTTACTATAGATACCATTTACTATAGATAGTCAAGAATTTTCGCAGTTGATGCCAATCGATGCCGATGCAAATCAAAGCAAAGCTTGCATCACAAATTGATGTACATATAATATTTTAAACTATTTACATAATTAGTGTTCATATTTAACTATTACATATTCATATCTAATAGGTAAATACTAAAAGCATTGTCGACTGGCATCGACTTAGAAAATATCTGAATAGGTATCTATAGTAAATGAAAACTTCCATTCAGTTATTTTTTTTACTTTTTAGTGTTTTGAAATCGGTTTTTTTTCTAATAAATATATATTGAGTAAGAATTACTAAAAAGGAACATATTAAACTAAAATTAAAAATTAAATAAAAATTAAATTACTTAAACTATATATTTTTATGCATTATTTAAAATAGAGTAGTGTATTACATTACTATGTAGTATTATATTAATAGGTACTGTACCACTACGGTTCTGATAAAACTTTAAGTAAAAAAAATGTTTTTAATTCACTTGGAAATACCGACAGAAGGAGCTTGAGCAAGATGTCAGATTACTTCGGGAATGTATTTACTTGGCATGATTAAAATACTTTGCAAGATAAAGTTGGGGATTCTAGTTTGTCATTCATGTCATCATCTAGATGGATGCCTACATATTGTAGGCCAATTTAATACTTATCAGTAATTTATATAGGATAAAGTACCTTATATATAGCGTGTGAATATTTTAGGTATAATCGTTTTTAGGGTCTCTCGATGACCTCAAAAGGAAAATAGGGACCCTTATATAATCACTTCGTTGTCCGTCTGTCTGTCAAGAACCTTCTTTTGGAACACGTGGAGGTACCAATTTTAAATTAGTAACAAATCTGTTGGTCTGTAATCCCTTGGAGCTGCGAAAAAATCAAAATTCTAAGTCACTTTACTCATCTCGTATTTTGCTTAATAAGCCCTTTCATTTAATACATATATCTGGGTTAATGTGGAAATTATAAATCGCCATTTTCCGGCGGTCACCATATTGGATTTATAATGACGTCACTTTGCTTATTGTGTTTCGCTCATCAAGCAATTTCATATTTTGATGACAATTACAATTTAACTTAAATTTTAATTAAAATTTAATCAAAATAAATTATTATAAAATTTAACTTAAATTTTAATTAAAATTTAATTAAAATAAATTATTATAAAATTTAACTTAAATTTTAATTTTTTACTTAATACTTTCTTAGATTTACGCGAATATTTGACATTTTAAATAAAACTATCTTTTCGGATTTTGTCGCGGATTTATTTGTATTTTTGTTTCCCGACGTTTCGAATGCTTTACAGCATCCATGGTCACGGGAGAGACTTTTTTACTTAAATCGCCATTCTATAACGACGGCCATATTAGATTGAAAATGATGGCATCTAAATGTCATCATCATCATCATCAGTGCATTGTCATAAAAACTAACGTCTGTGCCAAATCTCAGCTCAATTGAAAGTGGGTCAACTTTAACTTGTAAGATTTGATTACAGACAGACGCCGGGACAGGTGAAAATAAATAAAAGCTTGTAATAATATATATTTTTATTATATTTTTTATTGATAGAAAACACGCGTTGTATATATGATACATACTGGAATAAATATCTTGAATCACACTATTATCACTATACTAAAGGGAGTTTTAATGACTTCATACTGTAGTCTAAATCTGTCGCATCATAAAATATTCGCTCCCATATTTTTTTCACTTACGCGCCAAAAGAAGTATATTTTCTAAAATAAAAATTAGTACTACATTTTAGATGTAGATTGGCTATAATTTAACAAAATGCAAAT